TTTTCCTTGGTGCTGAGCCTGCGCTCACAAAGGGCGCGAGGACAACACGTATGATATACGTCACATCACTGAAAGCAAGTGACGTGTACTATCCTTGATGACATCAGAAAAACCGTACCGGAGCTGCAGACTGAAACGAATTCGTGCCCATGCATGCATGCTGTGGCAATATCCTTAAATGATGCCCAACGAAAAGGATCTGTATACACTGTTCCTCCTCATGCCTGTGCTTTGGGCTCCGGGTGTGGCTCAATGGGAACACTACACACTAGCATGTTTTTGTTTTTTGCTAATAATTTCTTTCTAATGCGTGCCATCAATAACAGGACGCCTCTCGAACGTGCTCATTGGCCGCGCGGGACGACCAGGACGACGACGACGACGACTTGTTGAGAGCAGCTGGCGCGCGCGGTTTTAATGTACCGACACTTGGCAGGTGAGGTGCCATGCAAATGAATGATGAGGGTCTGCAAATACCCTGCCATCCGTACGACGACGCTGACCCCACAGACGGTCAACTCCTTTGGCTGTGTACTCGTTTCGTGAGAAGTTGGATCCATTAATTTACCGAACGAGACAATTTAGCACATTTAAACATCGTCGGTATTTGGTTTGAACCGAAAATTCGGTTCCCTTAGTTTGGTTTTAGAATATTTCAGTTTTCAAGAATATGGAACCGACCGGTTCATTCCAAAAAAGAGAACCGATAAATTCGGTGTTGGTTTTCTACTTCTGTTTTTGGTTTTCAACTGAAGAAACCGAGTTGCAAGGCGTCGCTGTGTCTGCACCTCCGGCGTGCCTTGCTTGCTCCGCCGCCAGATCTTGCTACAGATGCGTCGCCGCCGGACCCTAGCTCCCTGCGCGCGTCACCAGAGCCTGCTTCCTGCTCGCCACCGCACCAAGGGGATCCCTACTCGCGGCGTCACGCGAAGATCTGCGCCCTGCGTTGCGAATTTGCTGGTCCTGTTGGGTTAGGGTTAGGGTGCGGATGCGGATGAGAGTCAGACCGTTGGGCCGTGTGGGACTGGGGCCTGGACGCCTGATGGGCTGCTCTCTTCGCGACGCTAGAGAGAGGTCCGGTGGCTTCAATTTCAACGGTTCTTCGGTCTAGGTAGAGCACAAAACCGAAACAGAAGCCGAACACTGAAGTTCTAGAACTCAAGAACCGAAACCAAAAACTGAAAAAATCAATATAGCGGTTTGATTCGGTTCTCGGTGAAAAAGTGACTAGCCTGATCTAAACAGACCCGTGTCCTTATATAAGCTGAAATGGAACAAATAGCTCGAACTTATCTTTTTTGGCTCACATCATAGACACCTAAGGGCAGTCCCAATGAAAGAAATTAGTAGTTTCTATAACATAGGATACAGCACAAAAAAAAGTACTGCTTTCCAACCCATGGTTTCTATGAGTAATAATTATTTTCTCTTTCTCTATCCCAACTCTATCTTCTTCCTCCATTGGGAGTGCGACACGAGCTCCCTAGAAACTGGTGATTTCTCCTCAATGGCGATTTCATGGTTTCTTGGTGCATTGGGTCAAGAGTAGACCTGATTTCTTCATGAAGAAACCATTTCTATGATTTTTGCTCTCTTTCTTCATTAATTACGTTGCCATGTCAGCGTTTTACCTACGTGACAAGTCATTTAATGAGGATAGAAACCATCATCAATGCACCATTGGGACTGCCCTAACTAAAACATAGGAAAAATGATATTTTAAATTTGTTTCAAAGTATGTGTCAGCACCAATCAACAAGCTAATCACTCATCATTGGTCGCTTGTTGTATATCAATTGATTCTGTCGCGTATTCATGAGCAGGTGCAGGTAGGTGCTGATCAACTGATAGACTGATAGAGCCACATTGCTGAAGTGGAGTCAGTAGGCATGAGAGCGGACGGGGTCGACGACGGCAAGACCTCGGCGTTCCGGTGCCTGGACGCGGCGCGGTACACGGTGGCGGCCGTGGTGACCGTGCTCATTGTCGCCGTCGTCGTCACCTCCCTGAAGGTGGTGCTCCGTCCGGAGTCCCTGCGCCTCTCCGTCGTCGACGGCGTGGTGTACTCCACTCCGCTGCCGGCGAGCGAGGCGGTGACCCTGCAGCTCAACCTCCGGGCCGAGAACCCCAGCGGCCGCGCCCGGATGTACTTCCTCAACGTCACCGCGTACCTCTTCGACGGCGCGACGCCGGCGTCGACGCCGACGCCCGACGAGGACTGCATCATCTTCTTCAACCCGACCGACGGGGCCGTGCGGCAGGAGATGGCGGTGGACTTGATGACGAGCGTGGAGGCGACGAACGACCCTGGCGTCATGAACCAGACCTACTTCGAGCTGCTGTATGCGGATGGCCGCGTCATCGGCGACATGACGCTACGGGTGGACGGCAGCCTCGTGACGGAGGTGAGCTCCGGGTTCAACATGACCCGTCTGCAGGTCACCTACTACTGCCGGCCGCTCCTCGTCGGCGGGAGCAAAGGTGGCAAGGTCTCCATGGGCAGGAAGGACGTGCTCTGCACGGATAACCTGGGCAGTCAATGATTGATTCTCCATGGTTAAGCCGCCCACTTGCAGGAGTAGTTAGTCCATGAGGGAACCAAAGTGTGTTTCTTGTTTCAGAATCAAGCGCGGTAGAGTCCTGTGTATTTTGTTGTTATTATGTAATCTATCTACCCTGGCACCTGTGTATTTTAAATTCTGGGCTGTGGCAGGCGAGTTCAATGAGAACTAACGTACTATGCAACTTCATTTTGTTTAACGCTCGAATCAAAGCACATACCGCAATATATCGGATACGAGGGGTGCATGGTTACTCCTTCTCGTTGTCCATGTTTAGACATATGTATAGTGTATTAAATATAGACTAATTACGAAATTAATTACACAGTTTATGACTAATTTACGAGATGAATCTTTTAAGCCTAATTAGTCTATGATTTGACAATGTGGTGCTACAGTTAACATGTGCTAATGACAGATTAATTAATCTTAATTAATTTATCTCATGGAATGCTGATGGATTTTGTAATTTATTTTTTTATTAGTATCAAACACCCCATACAATACTTTCATGTGACACCTCCTAAATTTTAGTCACTGAATCTAAACACTCTTTTATTCTTTTTAAATTTTGAAACAGTATAGAGACGTAAGCACTCACATATATATGCACACACCCTCCTCTTATTGAAAACTCCAATGACAAAGCCGAATACAGGTCTTGATGATGATATTGTCGAAGTCATTATATATATAGCCTATATAGGCATCTCGTTGTGGATGTGGGTATCTAGAACACAACTTTTTCTCTTAAAATTAAGGTTTTGCATTCAGTATCCTATTTTTCTCTCCAAAAAACATGTGGTTTTGTAACTCTTAAAAATATATTGGGAGAAAAAAAGAAGGTCATCTCCAAGAGTTTTCAATAATCCACTCCTAAAATATAGAAGACAATTTTACATCAGGAATCCTATATTATTTCTAGATTATTGTAACCATATTTATATATTCTTTCTCTCTCGTACATTTACATCGAGAATCCTTTCCTACTCCTTATTCTTTCCCACACCCTTTCACCTTTAGTTTGACCGACAAATAGGCACGGGAAAGCAGTATCCGTGCGACCGCAACTACGCGCAAGGTTACGCACGACGGGGGAGGATTTTCCAAGTGCGTAAATTTTAGGAGCACGAATTAGGAGTTGTTGGAGAGGGATTTTTTCTCATCTTGCTAAAACTAAGGATTGGTAAGGGAAATATGGTACTTTCGGAGGTGCTCTAATACAGTCAGAAGTAATTGGCATGGAAATCAAATTAAAGATTATATCCTGTACGTAAGTTGCCTTCATGCAATAAGAGGGATTGATATCACGTACGTAACGCCCTGTTCATTTGGGCTGGTTTGGCTTATAAGCCATGGCTGAAAGTACTATTGGCTGGTTTGGTGTGAGATAAAAATACTGTTTGTTGACTGATAAGTCATAGCTTATAAGCCAAATACGACCAAGCAAACAGGCAGGATACCCAACCCTCTAGTCCTGAAACACAAACACTCCAGAAAAATAGGTTTGACTCATCTCAACCCACTCGGACCCTCAACCAAGCACAACCTAACTAAACGTGCGCACATTATTATTCATTCGATCATGGTGAAGCTGCTACATACTCAACATCCGTGTGTGCGTGGTGGTGGTTCGATCTGTGTACACGTGTGGCCTCACTTCCTTGCTGCCTATATAACCGAGTGTCCGAGTTGCACCGCAAGCCAGTGAAGTATCTAGAGACACTTAGAGAGCAAGATACACTGCACGACACATACCCTGATCTTACTTGGCACGGCTAGCCATGGCGGATGCTCAGCCACAGCTTGTCCTGTTCTTCTTCTCCTACTACTAGTGTCCCTGTCGTCCGTGCAGCAGTAGACGCGGAACACGAGTACACCTTTGTGGCGATCAGCTCGCTGAAGCCCAAAGCTGCTTGCACCGGACACAGGGGTACGTGCACGATCCCATCGAAAACACGCACGCACAGCTGAAAAAAATTGATCTGAAGCTAGTGATACTACTGAACGAACTGAATGATGTTGGTTGTTGCAGTGTCTCCACCTCATGGTCACCAGAACGCCACGTGGCTACGACTGAGTCTCTCCCATGGCCCCTGCTCGCCGCCGTCGTCGCACCGCCGAAAGGGGCCGTCATTGGCCGAGCTGCTACGGCAGGACGAGCTCCGCGTGCAAAACATCCAGATGACACTGCTGTCTGCTGGTGATGACGACAATGCCGCCGACGATGAGAAGGTCAAGAAGCGCCCGGCGAAAAGCACCACAACCGCTATGGAACACGGGCCCGTAGTCGACGTCAACGTCGGCTCAGCAAGTAGCATTTCCACGGTACTACGAACGAAACTATTTTTTTCTCTGTCACCCAGATTATTCAGTTTTCTTCTATGTCTAATTATTAAGTAAGCGCGCGATCGATCGATCCATCTCCCTTTTCCTGAGTCTAGGATTGATCCGATGGCCACCGGCGGCGGCGGCAGGAGGAGGCGGAGCATGCCGGGGACGGTGCAGACGATGATGGTGGACACCGCCAGCGACGTGCCGTGGGTGCAATGCCACCCGCCGCCGACGGGCGGTAGCAGATTCTTCGACCCAACCAGGTCGCCCACCTACGCCCCCTTCCCGTGCGGCTCGCCGGCGTGCGCGCGTCTCGGCCCCTACGGCAACGGCTGCATAAACGGACAGTGCCAGTACCGCGTCACCTACCCCGACGGGTCGTCGACGCTGGGCACGTACAGCTCCGACCTGCTCACCATCACCCGCACCACCGCCGTCCGCAGCTTACAGTTCGGCTGCAGCCAGGCCGAACAAGGCCTGAGCCAGGCCAGCAGCAGCTCATCCGGGACCATGTCGCTCGGCGGCGGCCCGGAGTCGCTGGTGTCCCAGACGGCGGCCACCCACGGCAATGCCTTCTCGTACTGCGTCCCGCCTACGCCCAGCGACGCCGGGTTCTTCGTCCTCGGCAAGCCGCCGTCTTCCAGGACGAGGACGTTCGTGGCGACGCCGATGCTGAGGTTCACCCAGGCGCCCACGCTGTACCGGGTCCTCCTCCGCGGCATCACCGTCGCGGGGCCGCGGCTCAACGTGCCGGCGACAGTCTTCGCCGCCGGCTCCGTGATGGACTCCCGCACGGCCATCACGCGCCTGCCGCCGACGGCGTACCAGGCTTTGCGCGCCGCGTTCCGGAGCAGGATGGGCCCATACCGCCTGGCGCCGCCTAAAGGGAGCCTCGACACCTGCTACGACTTCACCGGCGTCATGGTCGTCAGGGTGCCGAGGGTCGCGCTGGTGTTCGACCGGAACGCCGCCGTGGAGCTGGACGCCTCGGGGATCCTGCTCGACGACTGCCTCGCCTTCGCGCCCAACGGCGACGACCGCGCTCCGGGGATCATCGGCAACGTGCAGCAGCAGACCATCGAGGTGCTCTACGACGTCGGCGGCCGGTCCGTGGGCTTCCGCCTCGGCGCGTGCTGATCGAGCTCAGCTACGTGCTGCAGTGCGGCCGGGCAGGCTGCCGGCGGCGTACCGTGCATGTCCCGCTAGCTCTGTGCTACCAATAACTACCGATTTGGCATTCGGCATTATATTTCAGAATGTATTTGCTACTGGTTTATGTATTTTACGTTGGATAAATTCTATGTATCATACCTTGTTTGGTTCAATTACACTACCTGAAACAGTATAATTGCCGAGTGACTGAGAGTTTATCAAGTGCATTTCATTGGGCACTCGGCAAACATACTTTTTTCCGAGTGTTTTCAATTAAACACTCGACAAATATATAGCACTCGGTAAAACTCAACTTTGCCGAGTGTCTAATAAAAAACACTCAGCAAACATAGACACTCGGCAAAGTAGAGGCACGTGCGCTGGGCGTGCGGCGGCCATGTGACGGCCGTGTTGGGTGCGCCGCCCTGCCATTATAACTTTACCGAGTGTCCGTTAGAGACACTCACAACAACAACAACAAAGTTAGAGTAGGCTAGAGTTGAAACCCAGCAGAAACAATCAAGATTTAGGCACGTGAATAGTTGTCTTTCAAGCACTCCTATCTAAAACTAAGTCTTTGGGTATATTCCATCCTTTTAAGTCTCCTTTTATTGCCTCTACCCAAGTCAACTTCGGTCTTCCTCTGCCTCTCTTCACGTTACTATCCTGGCTTAGGATTCCACTACGCACCGGTGCCTCTGGAGGTCTCCGTTGGACATGTCCAAACCATCTCAACCGGTGTTGGACAAGCTTCTCTTTAATTGGTGCTACCCCTAATCTATCACGTATATCATCGTTCCGAACTCGATCCCTTCTTGTATGACCGCAAATCCAACGCAACATACGTATTTCCGCGACACTTATCTATTGAACATGTCGTCTTTTCGTAGGCCAACATTCTGCACCATACAACATAGCAGGTCTAATCGCCGTCCTATAAAACTTGCCTATTAGCTTCTGTGGTACCCTTTTGTCACATAGGACACTAGATGCCTGCCGCCACTTCATCCATCCTGCTTTGATTCTATGGCTAACATCTTCATCAATATCCCCGTCTCTCTATAGCATTGATCCTAAATATCGAAAGGTATCCTTTCTATGCACTACTTGACCTTCCAAACTAATATCTTCCTCCTCCCGAATATTAGTGCCGAAGTCACATCTCATATACTCAGTTTTAGTTCTACTGAGTCTAAAACATTTGCACTCCAAAGTCTCCCGCCATAACTCCAGTTTCTGATTCACTCCTGTTCGGTTTTCATCAACTAGCACTACATCGTCCGCGAAAAGCATACACCAAGGGATGTCCCCTTGTATGTCCCTTGTGACCTCATCCATTACTAAGGCAAACAAATAAGGGCTCAAAGCTGACCCTTGATGTAGTCCTATCCTAATTGGGAAGTCATCCGTATCTCCATCACTTGTTCGAACTCTAGTCACAACACTGTTGTACATGTCCTTAATGAGCCCGACGTACTTCGTTGAGACTTTATGTTTGTCCAAAGCCCACCACATAACATTCCTTGGTATTTTATCATAAGCCTTCTCCAAGTCAATAAAAACCATGTGTAGGTCCTTCTTCTTCTCCATATACCGCTCCATAACTTGTCTTATTAAGAAAATGGCTTCCATGGTTGACCTTCCGGGCATGAAACCAAATTGGTTCATAGAGACCCGCGTTATTGCTCTCAAGCGATGCTCGATAACTCTCTCCCATAGCTTCATAGTATGACTCATCAACTTAACTCCCCGATAATTAGTACAACTTTGAATATCCCCTTTATTCTTGTAGATCGGTACCAATATACTTCTCCTCCACTCATCAGGCATCTTGTTCGATCGAAAAATATGGTTGAACAGCTTGGTTAGCCATACTATAGCTATATCCCCGAGGCATCTCCATACCTCGATTGGGATACCATCCGGTCCCATTGCCTTACCTTCTTTCATCATTTTCAACGCCTCTTTGGCATCAGATTCTTGGATTCTCCGCACAAAGCACCTATTAGTGTCATCAAAAGAGTCATCTAACTGAAAGGTTGTGTCCGTATTCTCACCATTGAATACTTTGTCAAAATACTCTTGCCATCGATGTCGGATCTCATACTACTTCACCAAGAGATGCTCCCTTTCATCCTTAATGCACATAACTTAGTTGAAGTCCCTTGTCTTTCTCTCACAAACTCTAGTCATCCTATAAATGTCCTTATCTTCTTCCTTCGTACTCAAACGTTGGTAAAGATCCTCGTACGCTCTACCCTTTGCCACACTTACAGCTCGCTTTGCAGTTTTCTTTGTCACCTTGTACTTCTATGTTGTTCACACTCCTGTCATGATACAAGCGTCTATAGCACTTTTTCTTCTCCTTAATAGCCCTTTGGACTTCGTCGTTCCACCACCACGTATCTTTAGCCTCGCCTCCACTTCCTTTGGTTACTCCACACACCTCTGAGGCCACCTTCCGAATGTTGGTTGCCATCTTCTCTCACATGTTGTTTATGTACTCTTCTTCCTTTCAAGAGCCCTCTTTGATAACCCTTTTCTTGAATACCTCTGACGTCTCCCCTTTCAGTTTCCATAATTTTGTTCTTTCAATCTTAGCTTGTTTATCCCTACGGGCACACACCTGAAAACGAAAGTCTGTCACCAAAAGCTTATGTTGAGAAACAACACACTCCCCTGGTATCACCTTGCAACCCAAGCATGCTTATTTGTACTTTCTTCTTGTGAGGACAAAGTCAATCTGGCTAGAGTGTTGTCCGCTACTGAAGGTCACTAGATGAGATTCTCTCTTTCTAAAGAAAGTATTGGCTATCATCATGTCAAAAGCTACCGCGAATTCTAGAACTTCCTCCCCCTCCTGATTCCTACTACCATACCCAAAACCTGTATGAACTGCCTCGAAACCTGCACTTGTAGTACCTACATGCCCATTAAGATCTCCCCCTATAAAAAGCTTCTCGCTACTAGGTACAACTCTAATCAGGCCATCTAAGTCTTCCCAGAACTGTCTCTTAGCACTCTCGTCGAGGCCTACTTGGGGGGCATACACACTAATTACGTTTAAGACCATATCACCAATGACAAGCTTGACTAAGATAATCCTATCTCCTTGCCTTCTCACTCCCACCACACTATTATTGAGGCTCTTATCAATCAAAACTCCTACTCCATTTCTATTCGCAACTGTCCCTGTATACCAAAGCTTGAAACCTGTATTGTCCACCTCCTTCGCCTTCTGACCCTTCCATTTAGTCTCTTGAACGCATACTATATTTACACGCCTCCTAGTCACGGTATCAACTAATTCTCTTAACTTACCTGTAAGTGACCCTACATTCCAACTGTCTAAACGGATTCTAGTTGGTTCGACTAGCTTCCTTACTCTTCGCACCCGTTGAATCAGATGTGAAGACCCTTTCTCATTTTTCACTACACCCGGGCGCCGATGTAGCGCGCCACTAAGGATGCGACGACCTGATCCTTGATCACTTGACACCATGCCCAGATCGCGACACAGCGCGTCACGGGGGTGACGACCCGGCCCTTGCTCATTTAACATCATACCCGGGTCCCGATATGGTGCGTCGCTAAGAGGGTTACACCCCACCGTTAGAGACACTCGGCAAACTGATATTTTTGCCGAGTGTTTTTGTTTAACACTCGACAAAACAATGTATTTACCGAGTGTTTTTTTGGGCACTCGGTAAAATAATATTTTTTTTCTCTCCTGCTCTCCAAACTTTTTCTATTCTCCACATACAACATGTGGTACTACATGTTAAAATTTGGCATATTTCTCAATCTGTTTGCTATATTTATTTAATTAATTGCATTTAGAGGTATTTTTTGGTTTAAGTCAAATTTGAACTGCAAGTGATTTAAATAATGGAGTAAATTAAGTGGAGAAATCATATTCATGTTATTAAGTCTATTTTGGGGCCTTACTCGGGAAATGAAAAGAATTTTCGAATATTTTGTTTAGGAAACACGACCACGAATGTGTGGCCGAATGGTTTTTAAATTCTAAAAAAGCAAACGAAGTCTGAAAATCACGAGATTTATCAAAATTTCATGATATCATACATGGAGACTGTGGAAAAAAATTGAAAAGGTTTTGCACAATTTGTCACGTACGACCTTTATAAACCGAAACATCTCTGAAGAAGAATCGTAGCGTTGAGAAGGATCCGGTAAGATTTGGAGTCAAAGTGACGGTCTAATTGGGGTTTGACTTCAAAAGTTTTTGTATAGGCAATAGACAACATAGATTGGTTCACGTCAATTTTTGGTAATTTTTTGGATCCGTTTGATAATTTTAATTTATTAACTGTAATTATAGAATTTTAATTGATATAAATTAAATTTGAGCTATAACTGCATGAAATAATGGATTAATATTCGTAGAAAAATTAAATATGCATTGTTGAGTGAATTTGACAAGGTATTTTTAAATTACATCGTAACAAAAAAAAGTAGAACACGCTACGAAGAAGGAGGACGGTGGAGCATGAAATATAAACTTTTTTTGTCGAGTGTTTTATACCTGACACTCGGTGAAAATAATATTTGCTGAGTGTCATATAGGGGACACTCGACAACTTCGTCGACCCAGCCCCACTGCATAGTATCGGGCCGTAATGAAAATAAAAAAAAACAATGCCGAGTGCCCTGGATCTGGCACTCGGCATACTCCTTCATATGCCACCAGCGGCCCGCACCCCCAGTCCTCACCCTCGCGCACACAATACGCCGCACCGCACCGCACCGCACGCCGCCCCAACGCCTCCCCGCCCCACCGTGCCCCGCCACCGCACTGCACGCCGCCACCCCCTGCCCAGCCGCCGGCGCGGCATCACTGCCCCGCCCCCGGCGCCACCCGCCCCTCTCCTCTCCTCTCCTCTCCTCCAACGAGACAAGGAAGAAGACAAGCTAGGGAAAGGCCCCAAGGCAAACGCAACCCGTTGCACAGAGAAAAAAGAGGG